AAACTATGTTATAATTAGGTGATATAATTAAACTTTCACATCATTATAACTATGTTTTTAATTTTTTCAGGTTTTTGACTTTTTTAAATTTATGTTCTTCAATAAAACTGGTACAATTAGGCAAAATATACTTGTTTCTAAATGTCTGAGTAAATTTCTTTACATTTTTTTACCTTTCTGGACACTATATTTTGTCATGGAAACCTTGTTAGCAGCATAAAAAAAAAACTACTTTAAATAGACTAATGAAGTTTGGTATGATTATGTGCATATGTAGGTGGCCTCATTATATTTTTAGCTACTATATATATATTTCAATTGTTTGTTCCACATTAATTTTTAACAAGGATCTTTTTGATCTGCAGATAAGTTCACTAACATTACAATTTTACATATTTTCTTCCTTCCTACAGCATTCGCACGTTTCAGAGCACATAACTTCAGTTTGGTGCAACGCAGAAAAGTTATTATAGCTTGATGAATAGAAAAATATCTTGGGAGCAAAACAAGCCATACTGGTTATAGACCAATTCTCGCCATAATAATAATAACTGTTAATAATATTAAGCTGATGCTTTTTTTCGATCGTGCTTTTCTGCTATAATCACTATTTTTTTAAAAACAGGAACCAAAACTTTGCGTGCGGTCGCGAGTTATTATTAATGTGGGAATAAATGGTATACGGCGAGAATTGGTCTATAACCAGTAGAGTATGGCCGCGTGCCTGCAGAAGGAAATCGAAGGTCATGGGTGGAACGAAGCAGTTGAAAGTTACTGACCTCGTCTCTTATATAGTATGAGAAATAGGGTCCTATGTCAGTATGGGTCATGAGGATAATCTGCGGTATTTTTGTCACTATGATTTTTTTTCTCCTTCAGATTATTGTTCTTTTTTTCAAAGCTCGCGTTGAGCACCTGTGCGCCTTACATAGTATAATCAACATATCTGGGTCAGTATTTTGCTCTGTACGACTATCCCTAAAATATCTCCACGCACCCACCCAAAAATTGAAGACCCATTTTCGAACAATATGTTTTCTTCGCTTTTAATCGAACGTCTAAAAAACAACAAAAATGCAACCAAAAACAATAAGATTTTCCACACCGAAAATATGTAATACACATCGAAAATGGGTTTATGGGTGTAAACTTGATCGTTACCTATTGTACATGTCGGCCATCATTTCCAATTCAAGATCAGCAACAAGTTTTAACTGTGCTTCGTTTAGCTCTGCCATTTTTAAAAAAATTACAAATTTAAAATATCTTTAATTTAACACTATACAATGATTATTTTACGCTACACGTGCTGTAAGCCGACGAATGTCATGTTACAACACCCAATCATTTATTCAATAACAGAAGTAAGCTAATCAAATCTCCGGTCACAAAAATCGTAGGCATTCGGACCCACTCGGCTAAATGCCAAACAAAAACACAAGTTATTTGATTCATAAAAGGTGGCGCTCACCAGTTATTATGTACTTTTGAGAGAGTGATGTATGTAAGGTGAAGTTGTTTGCATTTTAAACATGCACAGTGGAGAGAATGTTGGCATACCTATATACTACTTTCATGTAATGTGGATGAAATTTCTTTGGATATTGTACTTTTGGAAATTTTAAATGATCTTAGGACACTGCCAACTAAAATGACTGCTCCCTTGTGCTCCAAAAATCAACCTAAATTTGTCTAAAGTACACTATTCTTGGCAGCTATTAAAATATGGAAAATGAATTTTGCCAAACTAGGTAATACCAACTTCTAAAAGTGCAATGACTGAATTACCAAATACATAAAATGTAAAAAAAAAGTTATTGGCTCTTTTTTTACAATTTACCTCTGAAGTTCGAGAAGTGAAAATGAGCAAGTAGAGCTAGCACTTTTTTGAAAGATGCACATCTGGAGTAAGGCCAAGCTGTATACTCTCTAACCCATATTACACCCATCAATCATACATCAAAATAAAGGGAATTAAAGGTTCTTTAAACAACACCTAAGATATACAAAGTAAACAGTATAACTAGTGAGGAAACCCAGGGAAACTCTCTTTCTTTAAAATTTTAACCCTATGCTAAATACGAAACTGTAGAGAGCCACCAAAGTGGCCTCGAAGTTGCAAATATGGCCTTAGACAACGTTATTGTAGACTGGCATATGTTAAAGTTACCACTGCATAGCAGGCAATATATTTGATTTGTAAACGTTACTGTATACTCCAGTACAATCAACACAATTTGTAACATTTCAAAACAAGTCATCTGTAAAAAAAAAAAAAATAACCAATAAAAAACACCATTAAACTTGGTAATTTTTTGGGGGGTGGAGGGATATGTTACTGAGTTTCTTGTCCGATACCATATTGTTATTTACATTTCAAGTGCCATGCTTTTTATGTTACATTTATCTAAAGATAATTTTAGTCTTACAATAAATTAGCATGCTTCCAAACACCAGTCGATTTTGTTATATTTAAACTATTGCTGACGTCCTAGACTAACAAGTAAGCTGTCAGATATATAAAATAAAAAAAAAAGCAGAGACCTACTTGTTGGTCTACTGATGTCCATAAACAAGTCAACCAAGTTGTTCATTTGTGTGACAATCAGCCACCGAACAAGCAAACCCATTTTCAGGCTTAATTCAAAGTAAATGTAAACTAAATTGGAGATCTAGTTTCTGTGGGAAATGATAACCACAAGGTTCGTGTTTTTAAGATTTATGCAGTTTACCTAAAAAAAAAGTATGGGGCATCAAAGAGTGACAAGTATAAGATGAAGTTGTTTGCATTTGGAAAATTCACAATGCAGGGAATGTTGGCATATCGCAATATTACTTTCATCTAATGTTGCTGAAATTTCTTTGGATATTTTACTCATGGAAATTGTACATGATCTAAGCACTTAGTTAACTAAACATACTGATCCAGTGTGCTAGAAAAATCATACTGAATTGGTCTAAATACACTATCTTCAGCTGTTGTTAAAATAGGGAAAATTAATTTGCCAACTATAAAATGCTAGTTTCTGAAAGTGCAATCAATGAAGTATTTAATATGTAAAATAAAAAATAAGTTATCTGCTCTTTTTATGTTACAATTTTCCTCTGAAGTCCACAAAGTGAAAATGACCAGCTTGCAGTTTATTGACAGATGGATATCTGAAGTAAGCTCAAATTACACCTATAAATTATTCACCAAAATAAAGGAATTAAAAGTTCTTTTAGCAATACCTAAGATATACAAGGTCTCTTTGAATTAGCCAGTATAAACTGTGAAGTAAACATTGAATAATTTCTTTTTGATTGAAAACCCCCTATGCAATATTCAAAGTTGTAGAGTGCCACCTTAGGCGGTAAATTGTGGCCATTTTTAAAAATTCTCTTAAGCCCATTGTTGAACCTTAGGTACAATTCATCACCTCTGAGAACTATATTCAAATAAAATTCATCACCACTGAGAACTATATTCAAAACTACTTTTATTCGCAATGCATAATATCATTCGAAACATCATGGTCTGAAAGAGACTCGAAGGTAATCGTGGTGATACTTACCGAATTGGTTAAATGTGTAAAAAAATATTTAAAACAGTGTATAAAAAACTAAACATTTCAACAGTCACTAAATTATCCACACTTTTGATTTTGAATATTATTTCTGTAAATCATAGTGAAGAAATTAATAGAAATCAGCTATATGTCGCTGTTATCTATCATGTCATTTAGTTGTTATGTCGCTGTTATCTATCATGTCATTTAGTTGTTTTTTTTCTTCTTATGGTGCCATGAAATTATTATTTTAGAACAAAACCACGAATCTCAGGGGTAGTTAAAATTCGCCATCATTTACATCTGAGATTTATTATAGCAAACAAACCCTTGGACGATACAAATTGGGAAGATTATGAAAGAGAAAAGTGGTAAAGGCACAAATGAAAAATTGTTGGCCTTTTCTGTGGCAGTATCTGCCATACACTCCACCAGATGGGAAATGTGTGTGTGTGTGTAAGTGTGTGTGTGATTTGATTTTTAACGTAGTTTTGAAACAAATTTGGTCATATTGCTATGATGCCTGCAGTGTTGCCATCTATAGTGATGTGCAGCACTGAGACAGCATGATGTCTTTCATCATCATCATCGTCGTCGTCATCATCAATCCCTTAACCTTGGAGGTCATTGGGGCATCACAGTTGACTTTACAATGAATTCTCTCCATCTTTCCCTGTTCTGTACTGCCCTTTGGGAATCTCCAAATTCCATGCCTCTCCACTCCATAATGTTGTCTTCCCACCTCTTTTTCTGTCAGTCTCTTCTTCAGCACCCTCGCACTGTACTTTGCAAGATTGGATTTTTGCCAGTCCAGATGATCTTGAGAAGTGACTGTACCACTAAAGTTAGATTTTTTACAGTGTTCAAGAGGCCTTCATAGGATCTGATGCTTTGTTGAATTCTGTTGTGGACTTCTTCATTGGTTACATGGTCAATGTCTGAGATGCCCAAGATCTTGCAGTAGGATAAAATTTAGAAGGCTTGAATCCTTCTTTGTAGATCTGATGTGCTTGTCTATGTTTCACATTCATAGAGAAAGATGGATATGACAATCGAGCGCATCAGCCTTATTTTGGAACCAAAAGCAATGTTGGTATCTTTACATATTGATCTCAGTATTGTTATTACTGATGTCATCTGACCAATCCTGCAAAGTAGTTCTGGTCTGGAGCCATCATCTGTGACAATTAATCCCAAATACTTGAAGCTTGTGAATCTTTCCAGCTTGTGTCCACATACCTTTATTTCTGCACTGATGCCATTTGGTGTTGTTTGCCATCAGTTATTTTTTCTTCAGTGCAAATCTTCATGCAGTATGCTGAGGAGGTTGTGTCAAGGTGCTCAAACATTATGTCCCACCTTATCAGATTATCCTGACACAAGGCCGATCAATCCTAACACTAACCTCTTAATGCTGAATGCCTAGCAAGGCAGCTGTTAGTTTTTTTGGCATGACTCGCCCTGGGTTTGAACCTGCAACCGCCTGCATCCTAGGCAGATGGTCTAACCATTAGGCCACCGGAGCGGTCAGATAGGAAATGGACGTGCTATTTCACAATCAACACAGTCATGTTACTTAAGCGAAACAAACAGCAGAGAATCAGACCCCTGCCCATACCCCACCACATCCCCCAAAAAGAAAGAACAACAACTATATTAATTTTGAAATATCCACATGCCACTATGCACCGGAACTTACAAAGTTTATATTCATGCGCATTGTTTTTAATGCGTTATTATAACCTCACAGATATCTCAAAGTTTACACAACTTATCATTATTTATACTAAAATTTGAGGCGATTGAAATTAAATTAATTATTACATTCTTATTACTTTTAGTATCGAAAGTTACGAAAATTACATTAAAAATTAAAACACGGATTGATGGAGAAACGGTGTCAAATTTTGTTTCAACACCATGATTTATAACGATAAGACACAGAGAAATGGCGTGAAACCCCAAACAAAAACAACTATACTTTGTATCCAGCCGGATGTTTGTCGACAAATAATTACCGATAACTATGATCACAGTTTGGATCTACTTTGTATATTTCTGCAATACAAATATATGCATTGGATATATGTCAAGGCATTGATTTACAGAAAAATCATGTTTTGTTCTCCATATTGACCTGGAACATTTTTTGAATGCATGAGTCATATAGTATTCAAAACAAAGGAATACATAGTTAACTTTTGAACTAACAAAAAATTGATGTATAAATTTAAAACGAATATATTCAACAAATATTTACAAACTTAGATCAACGAACATAATTGTAGCGGTTGAGACAAACATTGTGCTTTCCTGAAACTATCACTTGTTTGTATGAAGCTGAATTTATCTTTTCCATGTCCCTCACTTCCAGACACCTTTCCCTTTGATGCTTTATAACGAAAAATACTTGTTATTCCTCGCACCCAGACTTCAGCTTCAACAGAGAAACTTTAACTAATTTCACGAGAGAGGATACTTAAAACATTGAGTATAGTTTGGGAAGCACACCTCATGGTTTAATGTAGCCAGTCAAGATTAACTTTATTTAACAGCCACAAATTTAACTCACACATTAAAATTAGATTATTTTTTAAAAATCTACGTTTAATTAATAACCATTCTGGAAAAACTAATTTTATAATAGTTATTTTAAATTGCCCAAAATTTTCTCAGGCTTGTTTCTACATTTTTGTTTGCTACTTCTAAACCCATAGTTAACACCGACTCTTCTGTATCTCTAACCATTATTCCAGCGGGTCCTAATTAAAATACAACCATACCCCATGCCAGAGCTTCCCATCCTTCACAAGCAGCGATGTAATATTGCCTAACCAGCATGTCAAAGTTAATTGTTATGTGTCACGTTGACCACGACAAAATGTGCCGCTAAACCATTTACAAAATAATTGCACGGTCACACAGTATGATGCTCATGAATTTGATATCAGTTCAGATGGCCATTATTTATATATGAGTCTACTGTGATTGAAAAGGTCGTGGATATTCCAATTTGGTTCCACGGGAACACACTGCACCATCACCTAGGTAAGTGCCTCTGCTATCTGGCAAATTACTAACCAGTTTTGGAAATGATCCCTAAGTTCAATTATAAAAATAATTATATATATATATATATACACACACACACACACACACACACAGAACTGGTTTAAGAAGTTTGGGGCAGCACAAACTCTAACCTTAAAAGTTATCATAATTGCGCCTCATTCACACAGTCTCAGATAAAGAGTATTGCATTGCATTTCCATGTGCATGTGTGTCATTTTGTTAAATTTATTAATATAGTACTAAACCACTAACACAACCACAGGAGTCTGCAGTTTTATCAATAAAGCACAACAAAATTTATGACATGAAATCACCTTAACGGTATTATAAATTCTAATAATCCTGTGACACAACCGACACAGAAATTTTGTTTTTGAGCCGCTGCGGGCTTCCTGCTGCATGTGGGCGATAGGCACGTGCCTCACCTGCCTATGCTTTAAAATGGCACTGTATGTCTGTATGCATGTATGTATGAATGAGCAGCAGAGAGGCTGAACCTTACAAGGTTGTAGAGACCTTTTTTGAAAACTAAAGATTCCTATGCCATCTGTATATTTAAGCAGGCAATATTATATTACATTCTGAAGTACAAAAGTTATTTTAGGAGGTTGAATCAAGTGTCCACAAGGTCTGTATTGACATTTCCTTGTTATCTTTGAAAGATGTTTACATACAATAACTTGCAGTAATTGCTGTAGCTTTCACAACTTTTGAGGTAAAGTTGTTAATATTATAACAGTTCAAAGGTACACAAAGAAGTTGGTATTAACATTGTCTTCTGATTATCTTATTTAGGCGTGCATGTACAAAGTTATATGTTCTTTGCTTTCTCACAAAATCAACCAACTTTTGAGATTAATATCTAATTTGTCAAAACTGCTTTAACAATGAATTCTGGACACAAGGTGAGAGATCATGATGACAATCGTCGGCCATGACAACATGCACATACAAGTGTGAAAATGTAAGCAAAGTATCTTAATGTACAATTCCTGGTGCTTGAAGTTGCAGATTTATACTCCTACTTGAAACATTGAACCCACATATAAACTTATAACATTTTGAGCTTGCTATTTACATACAAAGTTATTTCAAAGTTAAGAGTTTATAATTATAATATTACAATGAGCAACACCAACTACACAAAATAACCTGACACATTATTTTCAAGAGTGAGACAATACAATACATTAAGGATGGCAACCTGGAAAACAGATTGGAGAAAATGTTCTTTATCCAATTAAAGTTTTAAGCAAATACCATCATACATAGTAACTACATAGTAACATGCACTTTTTCTTCTTTAAATATGTTACCTGATCATAACAGCTAACGAGAACTACTACTACCTTGCAATTCCAGCTAAAACATTAAAGTTCAAATTATCTGCCCACCTAGGTGACAGAGTGATTTCATGTTGATACTGGGATTGATGCCAAGTCCTGTAAATACTTCTCTTACTACTTCTACTTGTGCAGAGTATCACACTCTCTACAGAGAAGCATTGCAATCACAAACAAAGCATTTTGAAAGTTTTCTAGTTTACTACTCTAGAGGAAGTTGCAGTGTTTACTGCAAAGGAAGTATAATCCATCAGTGCTGATATCATCTCTTCTTTTTATCTAACACTACGCTCAAGCAAACAATGACAGAAAATTAATCCATCGTATGTGTTAGTGGGCCAAAAACTAGTGTGAATTTGTTTCTTCTAACAATAATATTAAGCGGTTTAAAGGTTAGAACTGACTGCTATATCTTTTGGTGAATCACCATTATTTGTACAAATTAAATGATATTTATGCAATTCTCCATTGTATCAAATTAATTTCTGTGGATTTACAGAAAAAAACTGTTTAAAGGTTTTTATCTTTCTATTTTTCCTAATAGCTGCCAATCTGCCATCATTTGTACTAATCTAAAAGGTCTTTATACCGGGATGGTTTCTGTTAAATTAGGTCCAATTCTGTCAAGTGTTTGAGGAGTCATTTTACAGCTATTCTATTTTAGTAATGGTTACAAAAAAAATGTTTGACATCGTTTGTACAAACTTGAAGGCCCTTCATACAAGAATGCTGTCCAGTTAAGTCAAACTTTGTTCACAAGTTTTCTCTTTTTAATAATAGCAGCAATCTATAAAATTACAATCTTTTTAAAAATTTAAAACATCTTTATGCAAGAAAGCTTTTTGTGAATATCATCTAGTTAAGTTACTGTGTAACGGTTTCTGTATTTTTTCATAATGGCAGCCATATTTGATGTCCGATTACTGTTTGCACAGTTCAGAAAAATCTTTATGTTAGGGTGTTTATATCAAATTTGTTCAAATTTTATCCAGTGGGTTTTGAGACAAGTTGTTTTAAGATATTTCTATTTATATTAATTATGGCCTAATTTGATGATTAGCATTATTTGTGCAAACTTGCAAGGCCTTCTTGACAGAATGTCCTATGCCAAAACAGGATGAATTAGCAGAGTGGTTTTGAAGAACAAGTTAAGAACAGCAATTGTTGATAGAGTACACATGATGAATGTCAGAAACAGCACCATACTACATGCTTGCTTGGTCTTAAAGCAAGGTGAGCCCAAAAGATAACATTTCCTTTATCAGAACATTGTAATTTTTTGTAGGCTTTAATTTACCAAACTACATAATGTTATACATAAAGAAATAATAACATTATTATTAATGAGTGGTACAAAATATTACTTTTTATAATATTGTACATCTGTACAAAATATTCATAACCTAAAAATAGCCAGCAGACAAATAGTTGTTATACCTGACCAACCATTGCTATTACAGATGAAAAACAAAATTTGTTTCCATTTTCATATCCAGCAACCTTGTCCTCAGTCCTATTGATTTCAGGGTCTCTCAGCCTCTGAATAAACAGTGGGGTTCATCTGCCCAATGATAGGCTACTTATGAAGTCGGATCAAAATTGGTTCCCAAAATCCAAATGTGCTGAGTAGAACCAACAAAATTACAATGTTGGTTCTAGTGAACATGAAATTTCAACTATTGGCTTTGGAATACATAGCGAGCTGCCTAAGGGTAGTCAGTCTGCCTTGAAAGCTGAATGCAAATGAGGCCAAGGAAACATTTTCAGTTTCATTGACCTTGAACCTAACAGTGCTGTGCTGTTGCTTTTATGAATTAGTATTTCTAATCAGATGCATTTAGTTCTTTCTTTTTCCAGGTGATGCTAAAATTTAGAGCCACAAATGCTTTGTTGAATGATATCACATGTGCCTGTCTTATGAATTGGTCGAGGGGGCTATTTCCACTGCTATTGATAGGCAAGATGACAGGGTATTGTCCTCAATTATTATAGAATTATATCCTTCTGTGATTAAGTAAAAGATTGATATATTAAAAAAGGTAACATCTCAAATTTAAAATCTAACATAATTGTCTTTAAATATGTGGTTCAGCAAAGAATGCCTGATAGTCTTT